CAGCCTTGCGATACAGTCTTGGGGACTTTTCCCCAGGGCGCTGTGTCTTATAGAGTGCTCCAAAAGATCGACTAAGACGAGAGTTGAAACGTATTTCGTTGTGTGTGCCTTATTTGACTGTAAAGTTAAAGTGACTTTCCCGATCCCGTACCTCAAGGGGACGAGATAGAGAGACGAGACGAGTTCCCCCCTGACAAGTGTGGAGCCCCCAGAGAAAGAGAGTTTTCCCCCTGATACGTGAGTGGAGATCCCGGGCAGGTGTTTAACACACATTGACATCCTGTGAAGAGAAGTGGAATGGCGAACATGTGTCTTTCTTGTGAACCGAACTAACAGCTCGACGACTCGGAAACTGCGCTTGACGACTCACGACTTTACCAGTATGGCACCGATGAACGACGCTGAAGAGATGAAGATTTCAGAACCCCTTCGGAAGGACCAGTACCGGATAGGACTGTATAATTAAGAATTGAGCGACATTAAAGACAAGAAGATGACAAAGAACGACCCGGACTAACGCGACGACAAGAGAAGAAGACGCTTATAGACTTTGATTAGAACTTTAGCTATTTGCTTGGAGAACCGCTCGTTGGACACTGTAACGGACACTGTAACTCAAGGACGTTGAACTCTTTTCACAACCCTAACCCTATTGCTCAGTAATGTAATGTATTGCTTGCTTTTCCTATCGTTTTTACCGTTTCTTTTAGTGATGTTGAATTGTATGTGTGTAAGCGCCCAGATCTTTGTTTTGAAATGATATTTAGTGACGTTCGAGGTCCTTTATAACGATTTAAGCGCATTTCAGTGGACAAGTATTTGCAACACAGTGTTTTGGGTTTTGTGATGTTTTATGGTGTTTTAATGAGTTTATGAGTAAGGATTATGATGGGGAAAGTAATGCCCCAATGAGTTTTTCAGAGTTTTGAGATTTGTCGATGTACAGAGATATCGACGTTTTAAGAGTTGTTTTTGTTTATGTGTTGTTTTCCGGAATACTTTTGAGGCTTTTTGAGTCGAATAGACCTAGCTCGAGCCATTCCATTAGAGCGCGTCCGTTCC